GCATGGTGTATACACCATCTTTTATTTATCTATTCTTCTGTTGATGGACACTTGGTTGTGTCTACCTTTTGGCTATTATAAACAATGATGTAATGAACACCATACAAGTATCTACTTAAGTCTCTGCTTTCAATTCTTTTGTGTATATATGTAGCAGTGGAATTGTTGGGTCATGTGATAATTCTATGTTTAACTTTCTGAGGACCCACCAAACTGCTTTCTACCGCTGCTGCACCATTTTAAAAATGTTACAATTATTTTCTTCAGTGGAACTGAACTTAAGTGTTATCCAGTCGGTTCCAACTCATGGTGACCCTGTATAGGGTTTCCAAGGAGCAACTGGTAGGTTTGAACTGTCAGCTTTGAGCAGTCCAGTGCTTATCCTACAGCACCACACCAGGAATTGAAGTTAGACTGTTTAATTGACATAATCTCCCTCCCTCTATTGCTCTGCTCCTTCCCTCCTTCCAGCCATCCTCTCCCCTCGCTTCTTGCAATCATCTTCTGGAAGGTAGTTGTCCTTGCTTGTTTACAAGATGCCCTGGTGGTATGGTGGTTAAAGCACCCAGCTGCTAACCAAAGAACTGGAAATCCCATCAGCTGTTCCATAAGAGAAAGATATGACAGGTTGCTTCCATAAAGATTTGTCAGCTTGGAAAGCCTGTGGAACAGTTGCTATAAATTGGAGGCAGCTCCATGACAAGTTTGGAATGATTTGGTCTGCCATTATATAATTTTCCAGGCAATCTCTCCTTTGAACAGGTCCAGCTATGTGTGTGTGTGTTTTTTTTTTTTAGCCTCCTTCCTGAGCAAAGTGGCTTAACCTCAGTCAGAGAGCCTGGTCCATCTTTTGTTCCATGGGGACCACTTTAGCTCCCATTATGCCACAGGCTTTTGACTTCGGCCCTGCTTATCACCCTGCTTTCCAATTAGTTCTCTTTCTTTTCTGATGAGATGTTTATTTTGGTCTTTTAGCCTAGGTGTGTCTTATGGGTTATGGATGGCATTACAAAGAATGGGGATTCCAGAATACTTATTGTGCTCCTACAAAACCTGTTCAAAAGAACAAGGGAATACTGCCTGGTTTAAAGTCAGGAAAGGTGGGATTCAGCACTGCATCATTCCACCATGTTTAGTCAGTCCATATGCTGAGCAAATAATCTGAGAAACTGGACTATAAGATAAAGATTATGGCATCAAGATTAGAGGAAAACTCACCAACAACTTGCGATTTACAGATGACACAACCTTGCTTGCTGCACGTGAAGAGGACTTGAAACACTTAACTGATGTTGTAATCAGTATGGATTACAACATAAAGAAAACAAAACTTCTCACAACTGGAACAACAAACAATATTATGATAAATGAAGAAAAGATTGAAGTTGTCAAGGATTTTATTTTACTTGGATTTACAATCAATGCCCCATGGAAGCAGCAGTCAAGCAATCAAATGGCATATTGCACTGAACAAATCTGCTGCAAAAGGCCTCTATGAAGTATTAAAAAGCAAAGACGTCACTTTGAGAACTAACATGCCCCTGACCCGAGCCATGGTACTTTCAATTGCCTCGTATACATGCAAAAGTTGGACAATGCATAAAGATTAAAGAGTAATTGTTGTTGTTATGCGCCGTGGAGTCAGTTCCGACGCATAGGATTCTGTACAGGGTTTCTGAGGCTGTAAATCTTTATGGGAGCAGAAAGCCTCATCTGTCTCCCGTGGAACAGCTGGTAGTTTCAAACTTCTGTCCTTGTGGTTCGCAGCCTGATTTGTAACCACTACGCTACCAGAGCTCCTTAAGAATAGTTGGTGCTTTATGTCTTGTATTATGGCGTTGGCAAAGAATATTGAGTATACCATGGTCTTCAAGAAGAAGGAACACATTATCTTGGAAGAAGTATAGTCCACATGCTCTTTATAGAAAAACAGAATGACAAGACTTTGTCTTATATGCTCCAGTCCCTGGAAAAGACATCGTGCTTGGTAAAGTAGAAGGTCAGCCAAAAAGAGAAAGACCTCCTTACAAGATAGACCGGCACGCTGGCTGTAACAATGGACTCAAAGCTGTCAGCGATTGTGAGAATGTTGCAGGACCAGGCAGGGCAGTGTTCATTCTTTTGTACATAGGGTCTCAAAGAGTAGGAGCCAACTTAATGACAACTAGCAACATCGCCAACAATATGTCTTATTAGGGTCTTTAAAAGTGTTCTCTCTCATTGTTGTGTTTTGGGAGCATATCAAAGCATGAACTTTCCAGCCTCCCTCCCTTGGAGATGGATTTTTTATTTTTCAAAGACGGGCATGTTGTCTGGGCTTATTGACCTTAGCAAGGCTGTGGGGCCAGGTCAGTGAAAAGCCCATCTGGGCAACTTCTAGTTACAGACCAGCTTCCCATAGCGGCCCCATGTGGCAGTAAGATGCATTTGCACCAGCTGAATATTCCACCCGCAGTGCTTGCCTGCTTGAGATGGTAGCAGCCTAGCTGTCCCCACTTTGTGAACTGCATGTGCCCCTGCCCCCAGGTCTTTCAGAGGGCCAGAGACTCTCAGCTGGCTTAATGTTAAAAGCCTGGCCTTCTTTCTCACTTCCCTGGTTTCTTTTTTCTGTCTTTAGACCTTTCTTTACAATTAACACTGACACACAGGTTTGTTTGTTTATTATTTTGTTGTTGATCAAACTAGGATTGTCTATTGCTACTAGGGTTCCAGTTTATATAGGATAAGCACTGGTCTGGTCGTCAGTTCAAACAATCCAGTTGCTCCTCAGAAACCCTATACAGGGTCACTATGTGTCGGAACCGACTCGATGGCACTTACAACAAGGAGGTTAAGATTTGTCTGTAACCATCCACTGATTGCAGACATGTTTAAACATGTTTTATTTGGAATAAGCTCATGCATCCATGCGGAGATTTCTCTCAGGAGAATGGGATTGTGGGCAATTTTCGTCTTCATATTTTGTCTATGCGTTAAATGATATATAATGATATGTATTATTTATATAATCAATGAAAAATAAAGCTATTTTCATTGTGGGTGGGGGAAGAGTATTGGCAAGTAGAGGTCTCTAGGGGACCTGATTTAATGAACACACAAGATCGATGTTAATTAACATAGCAGTTGCTGGCATGTCAACTGTTGTTTTTTCCAAAATCCTTGAAGTGTAACTTCTTTTAAGTAGCCAAACTCTTTGGAGAGATTGTTTATAATTCTCCCATTTAACAAATGGAAAGATTACAAATGCCACGGAAGAAGCGGTAGATGATTTCATGAGGCTTTATCTAAGTGCTACTGAATGACTGTCTGTTACACAAATCTCACCACAGTTTAAAATTCTCTCACCAAGCTAATCTCACAAAGGCAATTTCCACACCCTTTAAAACTTCTTGTAACTTTTTGTCTGTGTTTGTTCTAACCATTTCTCTTTTCAGACTTTTATGTGGTTCTTACAGTTTTTGTCTTAAATCTTCTGTCTTGGTTTGGCTATTTTCTTATCTTCTCATAAGCATTTTGCTTCACCCTCTAGGGCTTCGAGGTGCAGGTGGGTTCCACCTTACCATACTCTTGCCCTTCCCTCCATCCTCAGACCTGTCAGGATCAGAGACCTAGACCGCAGGTGTTTAAACTTGTCTAGTGCAGGCATCAACTCGCCAGGCACTCAGACTATGTTCTGGTTGGCTGGGTAAATAGGAAGGCAGGCTTCAACGGCTCTTTCTTTCTCAACATGTATTGAGCACTAATGTGGTTGGGTGCTACTGAGTGGATTTCAACTCATATCTACCCCATAGGGCTTTATAGGCTGTAATTGTGATGCTGTAGGATAAGCACTGGACTGCTAGTGGCAGAGTTGGTGGTTCAAACTCATCAACAACTCTTTGGAAACCTTATCCAGGGTGGCTGTAAGTTGGAACCAACTCAACGGCACTTAACAACCTTTACAGAAACAGCCTGGTCTTTACTTAACCACCAACCTCTGGATTAGCAGCCAGAGCTTAAAAGTTTGCACACCAGGCTGCTTTTATGGAGCACCGCTGGGTGTCAAGAACTAGACTTATTCAAAGGTGACTAAGGCATGGTCCACAGAAATAAGCAGGGGGCATGAGATCACGGTTGATTGTACAGTGCTGGGGAGGCACGGGGGTGGGGGGGAAGTGGTGGGGGCAGGAGGAGGGGGCTGTTAACACTTGACCTAGAACAGCATATGCAAAAGTCTAGCAGCATCAGCAGCATCTGGGAACTTTTTGAAAATTCTAGTTCATTCCCGATCTGTCCAAGCAATAACTCTGGGGGTGGAGCCAGACTTCTTGAAATAAGTCATCCAGGTTGACTCGAGGGTACTTGATAACAACAACCAGGTGATTCTGATGCACACTAGAGTTTGAGAATCACTGCTCCAGCGGAGGCCTGAGAATGCTTAGGATGAGAGTGAGAGGGGACAGGAGCCACGAGGGTTAAACTTTGCTCTTTAAAAAAGTTTTCAGACTTTTTATGCAAGGTCTCTGGCACCTGTACAATCTCTCCCAACTCTGCGCTTCTGGGGCCTGTAGCATTCCCAGTGCATCCTTGGGCCTTGAGTTTATTCATACAGACAAGTCCCTGTGACCCCAGGCAGTGAGAGAGAGACCGGGTCACAAACTTCTCCGCATCCAGGTACAATGGGTTAGTTGTCCAGGAGTGGAAAACAGGGCACGAAAAGAGACCAGGAGGATACTACCTCCCCCACCCCCACTACCCTACCCGTGTTGTGCTGCACAGAGCTGAGCCCCGCCCCACTCCCCCTGCGGTGGTGCCAGCAGGCAGCTCTCAGGCCAAGGCTCCACCCCGACCGGCTTGGTGTGGCGTCGGGCCTGCGGGCCCCGCCTTGGCTCCGCCCTAGCGCGCACCCGACGTGCCTCCTCAGGCCAAGGTGGGGGAGCGCCAGCTCGGCTCCGCACTCGTGCGCACGCCCGCGGCCGGGTTGCAGGGCCGGGCGCGTGCCCCGCGTTCGGGGCAGGAAGATGGTGGCGAGCGCACGGGTGCAGAAGCTAGTGCGGCGCTACAAGCTAGCGATTGCCACGGCGTTGGCCATTCTGCTGCTGCAGGGCCTGGTGGTGTGGAGCTTCAGCGGCCTGGAGGAGGACGAGCCGGGCGAGGTGTGCTGTCGGCTGGGCGGGCAGGCGGGCAGGCCGGGCACGGGGGCGCGCAAGGTCCTGGCGGGGCTGCGGGCGACCCCGACCGGGAAAGTGGGGCTAGGGCCGCGTGCGGGCAGGGCGCGGGTTACCGCCTACGGTTGGGCATAGGGTCCCTGGTGCCCCGTGCCCAGATCGACCTGGGGTTTGCCCACTTAGTGTGTGACCTGGAGGCCTGGGCAGAGGGCAGGCAGGGGGTGGAGAGCGGGAAGAGTGGGTCCAGGGGGGTCTCCGGCCCCTAGAGCGGTGAAGGTCAGGGGCGGGGAGCAGGGCTGGGAGGCGGGGCTGGGCCCAAGCCTGCTCTAGGGTGGGGAGCCCCAGGCCAAACTTTCTGAAGTTGGGAGGGGGCGGCGGTGTGCGCTGTGGGAGGAAGAGCAGGGCCAAGGGACCAGCTATGTCTGAGGAACAGTGGTGGGTGGAGAAGTGGAGCCCTGGCGTGGAACGTAGGCCCAGGTCAAAGGGTGGAGAGGATGGGGGGACTGAGGGAGTAGGGAGTGACCCTGAGGGAGAGCACTGAAGTGTCCCTGAGGCGTGGATTCATCAGCCAGAGGGGTCTGAAGAACCTAGGTGGGCCTTAAAGAGAAAATGTGAGAGGAGGTGAGCTGGTGAGTTGACCTCAGGACATTAGGGAATTGGGAGGGGACCTTTGGCTCTAAGGGAATAGGACCAGAAGCAGTTAGTTTTAGCAGTCCCAGGCCCAGCATCTGGAGGTATGGGGGCTGTATCCCCTATCCAGCTTTGTCCCCAGAGTCCCTGTTTAAGGTCTCCCTGGCGCTTGGCTATGGTAGTTTCAAACTGGAGGCCCAGACTTGTCCTCCCTGAGTGTGGTCAGGAACAGGGAGAACAGACCAAACCAGGGACCCAAGCTGTGGCCCAAAGTGGTTCCCTGTTCTACAGGGCCAGATTTTCCTGCCTATCCCTTGGGTTTTGAAGATCAGAAGCTCTGCTTGCCTGGTAATGTAAGGATAAGGGAAGAGAGCCCTGACGTCCACCTCCCCATTCTACATCTCAGCAGCCTGGAGACAAGGAGAAACTGACCTGCCTGTTTGGGGAGAATCAGAGGCTATGGTGGGTGAGAAGAGTGGGAACAGAGTCACCAGAGACCATAACTCAAAGGGAACCGAGGGTGCCTGGCCTCTGGCAGAGCAGACTGAGGATGTGTGGAGGAGGCTGGCTCTGTGTGAACCAGCCAGTAGGAGGAGATTGTTTTGGGATAGGTATAAGAAGACTGCTTGGGCAGATAGGAAGGGCAGCCTAAGATGGAATGGTCTGCTGAGCCTTCAGGAGCCTTCTGACCCTGAAGTATGATGTGAACTGAGGCTGGTGGCCACTCTGGGGAGGGGTCTGCCCTTTAGAGGTTTTCAGACACCATTTGCCCTGAGCTTCATGGGGTTGGATGAACATAGAGGTTGTCCAGCCTGGGGCAGTGGAGTCTTTGGGATTTGGCCTCACCCTTTCTCTGGCTGCCTGGACTTAAAGGTGATAGGGGAACTCTTAGACTTCAACAGAAAGATGACCTAAAGATTATGGACCCATCTCAGCAGACGTTGGGGTGGCCAGGCAGCTTAACGTAGTGCTTAGGAAGGTAAATGTGAAAGTTGGACTATCTGTTCTCATCCCAACTTTTGTTCCTAAGTAGCTGTGTGACCATAGGCAAATTACATAACCTCTCTCTGCCTTCAGAGTGTCATTTTACAGATGAGGATAAGAGCAGCACATCTCATTGGGTAATTGGAAAGATTACTATGAAGCACATACTGGGGCCCTCTAGCTCATTCTATACCTCAGAAACGACACCTGTTATTCTGACTCATCTTCATCATCACATAGTGGAAATAGATTCATTCATTCACTGAATCATTCATTCAACAACTGTGTATTTATTAAGTCCTGCTTTTACCAGGCACTGTGCGAATACTGGGGATACAGAAATAAAATCAGTGTGGTCTTAGCCGTCCTGGAGCTGAGTCTACCAGGAGAGGCAGACAGTGAAAAGGAAACTCAAATATATAATTACAAATTGAGATGGGGACAGCTCTGCTGAAGGGGTTAGATTAGGTGGTCAGAAAAGGCTTCTCTTAAGTGGCATGTAAGCCGAAGAGGTGGGCTGGAGAGTTCCAGCAAAAGGTGAGAAGGGGCTGAGCTTGGTGCTTGGAGGAGTGGAGAGGACGATGCAGAGTCGGTCAGAGAGACGTAATGGGCCTGGGTTCGTTATTTTAAGTGCGGTGGGAAAGCAGTGAAGGGTTTTAGCTGAAGCGTGATCAAGTGTACATTTCAGATGCATACTCTGTCCATCCATGCAGGGGCTAAAGTGGATGCCCAGGATGATCACTACCATCCAGAGAGCACTGTAATTGTCCAAGCTTTCATGAGTATAGCCTCATCTCGTTCTAATCATAGTGAGAAGACTGAAGAGGGTAGGCTGTGGGTAACAGCATTTCTGTGTTCAGTCTTGGTGGCTCAAACGATTCTGAGGAGGAGCTGCAGAGGCAGGAAGTGGCAGAAAACTTTGAAATGCCTCCTTGGTGGGCCTCAGAGGCAATTCCCACCCTTAGGAATCAGAGGGGGACCCTGTCTAGGAAGTTCTAGGGGTAGCCCTACCTAGGATCACCACCATGGCCTTCCTGACTCCCCACTGCTGCCTGCTTGTCCCCCAGCCTCCTCTAGGATTGTCCTTCTCAGGGTCAGCCAGCTCCCTGCTGCAGTGCAGGGCCCCAACATGATCATCTCCTTTCACATCCTGTCCCCCACCACAGCCAGTCTGGCCCTGTGCCCCATGCCCTGCCCTCCTGTCTAGCTTCCTGCCTTGCTGATCCTGGCTTCTACCCCAGAGAGCCCACAGCCCCTCTATAACCTCAGCCCACTGTGGCTTGGAACTGTATTTCTTTGTCTGTTTTGTGGCTGGGTCAGATGTCACCAGGTGGATGCAAACTCAGCTCAGTGGGGCTCTGTTAGCTTTCCCGGTGACAGCACCACCAAGGATGTCCTCTCCTGGGTAGGAAAAGATGGGGTCTGCTCTCCACCTTCCTTTCTTAGATGGAAGTGGACACCTCAGCTCCTTTTGGGTATCTTTTAAGAGAGAAAAAATCTGTCTCGTGCTGGAGTGTAGGAGTAGAGCCCTGAGCCCAGATGGCTATTGGCCTGACTGTGAGGTTCCTTCCTTGCTCGGAGAGAGACGGGGAGACGGTTGGAAATGAGGAAAAGGCAGAACCCAGTGCAATCGAGCCCAAGTCATCTGAGGGCCTTGGACTCCTTTCCTGACTTAATATTTGACTTTCTTACTCCGCACCTAGTGATACTAGTAAGGATAGCAGCATTTATTGACTGCTGAGCCTATGCCAAGAGCTTTACATTTATCATTCATTCATTCACCAAATATTTATTGAGTGTCTACAGTTGCCAAATAGTCTTCTGGGCTCTGGGAATACATCCTCATAGAGCTTACACTCTTGTGAGAGAGATGCACAATACCATATAAATATAAATGATGGGATGTTAGAAGGTAATAGGTACCATGGAGCAAACGAAGCTAAAGGTGAAGGAGACTGGAGTTTCAAATCCAGTGGTCAGGGTAGGCTTCCAGAGAAGACACCGTTCGATCAAAGATTTGAAGAAGGCAAGGGACAAGCTGTGGAGAGACCCGGGGGAATGGCTTTCCAGGCACAGAGCACAGTGCCTGCCTGAGTCAGGAGCATGCCAGGTGGGATGAGGGATACTGAGAAGGCCATTGTGGCTGGAGCCCAGCAAGCGGGATCCAGTTAGGAGATGAGGTCAGAGAGGGGACGGGTGGGGAGCGGGGACAGCCAGACACAGCTCACGTAGCCTTTGCAGGCTACTGTAAGGACACTAGTTGTTTTCTAAGATGGGAAGCTACTGACAGCTTTGAGCAGAGGAGTGTTGAGATGGGCAGAGAAGTGTTAATAGAAACAGTAGCTGTGACAAGACCAGGTCATAGGGGAGTGGGAAGCAAGAAGACCAGGGACTCCAGGCAGGGGTGTTAGGAAGTGGTCCGATTCTGGATGTGTTTTGAACGTAGCACCAACAAGATGTACTCACGGATTGGTTATAGAGTATGAGGAGTAGAGTCAAAGATGATGCCCCAAAATTTCTGGCCTGAGATGGTTTGAGGAGGAAGAGCAGGAGTTTACTTTGGGAGTGATTTCAGGGTTGCTGGGTTGAGAGGTCTGTCAGACTTCCAAAGGGGATGGCCAGGAAGCAGGTAGATACATAGTTCAATGAAGCAATCCAGATCAGGAAAATGTATTTAGAAGTGAAAAACATGCGAATGGAGCTTTAAAGCCAAGGATGTCAATGAGATCACCTAGCTAGGACTGTAAAAGGCCCAAGGGTAGTCTACAGAGAGAAAGAAACCACAAGGTGGGCAGTTCAAACCCACCAGCCTCTCTCAGGAACCCTATACAAGGTTTTATGAGTCACAATGGACTCAAGGGCACACTACTACAAGGACGCTAAGGAGTGGCCCTGAATATGGAGGAAACAAGGAGAGCATGGCCTTCTGGAAGTCAAGCCAGGAAGTGATCTAGCGCTTCATGCTGCTGAAAGGTCCAGTATGAAGAGGATTTAGCAATGTGGTCTTGAAGTTTGTGGAGTGGCAGAGGAGCTGAGAGAAATGGGAGGTAGCTGGTTCAGACAGCTCTTTCTAGCTGCATTATCTCATGTTTTAATAGTCTTTGGATACTCTTCCCTCCTGCATTTCACAACTGAGGAAGTAGCTAAGAGAAAGGCGCTATAGGACAAACACTGGTCTGCAAACCACAGGTCGATGATTCAAACTCAGCAGTCACTCCTTGGAAACCCTATACAGAGTCTCTATAAGTCAGAATGTGGTAAGGGGCAGAGCTAGGCTTGGGCCCTAGTGACCATAGGCTGTAGTCCCAGGCGGTCACACTACAGGGCCTCATGTCCTCTGCCTCTTCCAGACACCAGCCAGAGGCGCCTGTGTACCCGGTATGCTGCTGGTCCCGGGGCAGCGGGAGTGGTCACAGGCTACCATTGAGGAACTCTACACTATGCTACTAGTAGAACATATGCAAGGTCCACCAAGCTCAGGACCTCTCAGCCTGCAGGACATGGACTTGGCACTGGATCTTTTGTTGTTTCATGTCATTGACTATAATCACCACAACGTAGTGTCACTTACCCACTTACTCCATATTGTTTATTCCTCCTTCTCACTTAACCCTTCTGAACTTTGCCCTTGGGTACATGCCACCCTTTTGATCTCAACTGGTGGGTTATTTTAAGGTGTTTATACCTCCCTCCCTAGTGTTAATGTTCCCCTTACAGACCTGTCTATTGTTTTGGCTGAAAATAGAGGTTAGAGCTGGGTCTTGAAGGGTGGATGGGATGTGGTCAGGCAAAAAAGTGGTCCGGACAGCAGGATGGGGCGAGGGTAGTGAGGAGCTGGGGCTCATTTGAATGTCTGCTGAAAAAGAAAGTGGTATCTGAGCTTTGAGGTCAAGGGGGCGTAGAGATATGGTGGTAGGATGAGGGGGGCGAGGGGGGCTGGTCAGAGCCGTGCCCCAGCAGAAGTACTATCTGTGCACTGTGTTCAGGTAAACAGACCTTCCAGGTAAAGGGTGGGTGTAGAATCACAGATGTGAGCGCCCCTGGCCAGGAGGGAGCTAAGGAAGCAGGAGGTGAGTGAGTACACCAGTTACCTATGTCTGTCTGTCTTTTACAGAAAGGAAGGCAGAGGAAACCCCGGCCACTCGACCCTGGTGAAGGCTCCAAAGACACAGACAGTTCGGCAGGACGGCGGGGCAGCACAGGCCGAAGGCATGGGCGCTGGCGGGGCCGTGCGGAGAGTCCGGGTGTCCCAGTGGCCAAGGTGGTGCGGGCAGTAACAAGCCGGCACAGAGCCAGCCGACGGGTCCCACCTGCCCCACCGCCAGAGGCCCCAAGCCGCCAGAACCTGAGTGGGGCGGCAGCCGGGGAAGCTCTGGGAGGGGCAGCTGGCTTCCCACCACATGGAGACACAGGGAGTGTGGAGGGTGCGCCTCAGCCCACGGATAACGGCTTCATTCCCAAGTGTGAGATCCTGGGCAAGGACGCGCTATCTGCACTGGCCCGGGCCAGTACCAAGCAGTGCCAGCAGGAGATTGCCAACGTGGTGTGCCTGCACCAGGCTGGGAACCTCATGCCCAAGACTGTGCCCCGGCACTGCCAGCTGGCAGGTAAAGGACCAGATGCTCCAGGTGGGAGGGTAGAGTTGTGGCAGCCCATTTCTCATAGGAGGAAGCCGCCCAAGTTTACACTAAATGTGTGCGTGGCAGAGGTGAGACCCAGGAGTGTCAGGCTGGGTCTCACCCTGCCCTGTGGCCTGCTGTCTACTCTCAGGGAAGATGAGCCCCGGGATCCTGTGGGATGAGACCCGGGCCCAGCAGCCTGTGGACGGCCCCCCGGTACGAATTGCCTACATGCTGGTGGTTCACGGCCGTGCCATCCGCCAGCTGAAGCGGCTCCTCAAGGCGGTGTACCACGAGCAGCATTTCTTCTATATCCACGTGGACAAGGTATTGTGCTTGGTGGAGGCCCCGGAGGGTCACAAACCTGTTTTGCAGATAGGGAAAGTGAGGCCCAGCATGAGGGAGCAACTGGCCTATGGTCACACAGCTGGTTACGAGCTGGAGCCCTGCCCTGCTCCACCACACCTGTACTCTGGGCCTGGAGGGATGGTAATGGCGGGGCCCAGGCACAGCTGCTTAGTGACCCTTCCCCCCAGCGCTCCAACTACCTGCACCGAGAGGTGGTGGAGCTGGCCCGGCAGTATGACAACGTGCGGGTGACACCATGGCGCATGGTCACCATCTGGGGTGGGGCCAGCCTGCTGCGGATGTACTTGAGGAGCATGCAGGACCTGCTGGAGGTGCCTGGCTGGACCTGGGACTTCTTCATCAACCTCAGTGCCACCGACTACCCAACCAGGTGAGGGGAAGGAAGGTCCTTGGGTCACTCAGGATAGATCTCAGAGCCGGAGGGCCCTGATGATCTCCTTCTCTTCTCCCATACCTCATTCTGGGACCTGCAAAGCCCCAGCCGTATTTTAAAGGAAGAGTTGGTAATGGATGGTCTGAGCATGTTGTTGTGTGCCGTTGAGTCTGTTCCAAATCACAGCGACCTTAGAGGACCAAGGGAACTGTCCAATGTTACTGTTGTTCCATGCTGTCGAGTCAGTTCAAGCTCATAACCACCCTGGAAGGCTTTCCAAGGAGCGGCTAATGAGTTTGAACCACTAACCTTGTGGTTCAAACCAATCTTGCAGGCCAGTACATTATCCCACAGTGCTGCACCAGGACTCCAGAACTGCCCCATAGGGTTTCCCAAGTTGTGATGTATATCTATATGAGCAGATCACCAGGTCTGTTCTCTGTCAGAGCCCCACCAACCTTTTAGTTCACACCTGTGCATTTAACTATTGTACCACTAGGGCTCCTTGATGTGAGGATAGAGACGGGGAAGAGGAGGGGAACCTAAGGTCTGGCCCTGGCATTGTAAGATCAGGCAGAAACGGGTAGAGAAAGGGTGGGGTGGCCAGGGCAGCTGTCAGTGAGAAAGGAAGGGGCAGAGGGAAGGCCGTGGCTGAGCTCCTCCCCTCACACTACTCCCTCTCCAGGACCAATGAGGAGCTGGTGGCTTTCCTGTCCAAGAACCGGGACAAGAACTTCCTCAAGTCGCATGGTCGGGACAATTCTAGGTGAGGGTGGGGATGGAGATGTGGGAGGCCTTGACCTTAGGGTTTTGTTACAACCCTTCCTGCCTAAGGGAGCTCGACTGCCCCCAGCCCTGGACTGGAGAGCACGGGGGAGGGGGAAGCTTTATTCTGCCCAAATTTAAATAAAACATTATCCGTAAGTCATACAAAAATATCAACTTAAAAATTAGCCTGTGTTGGTGCCACCTTTTCACTGTGGGCTAGTCATTATGGATCCATGTTTATTCGTGTCCCTAGACTAGATTTTCATGATCCAGATCACGAGCAACCTGAACTGTTCTATTATCTCTGGTCTGTATAAGATGACACTGAATATTATTGCAATAGATCGAATAGATCAGTTAATATTCTATCTGTGAAGATAAGGTTTCATATTATGATTTTCTTCTCCAGTAGAAAATAAAATACGTAAATTGTACAAAACTCCAGTTTCCTAGATAACAAATGCCTTCCTTTATTTAACATGGCACACATGCCTGAAGCTACATAGAAAAAAAAAGTAGCTTGCTATATTTGGTCAAACATTGAATGAACTCACCTCTAATGTGATGGCTAGAACTGCGATTGCCTAGGTAGGACCAGACCAAATGATTTCTCAGGCTTTTTAGGCCCCATGGTCCAGATGTTCCCCACCCCTGTATAGAGCCTCCAAACCAGCCACATGTTGGTGTGGAATTTCTGGGCAAGATGGGAGACTGGGCCTCACCCTGCAGGACCTTCAGCCCTGACCTGTCGGATTCACCCACAGGTTCATCAAGAAACAGGGCCTGGACCGGCTTTTCCATGAGTGTGACTCGCATATGTGGCGCCTGGGTGAGCGGCAGATCCCGGCGGGCATAGTGGTGGATGGCGGCTCTGATTGGTTCGTGCTGACACGCAGCTTTGTGGAGTACGTGGTATACACAGACGACCCGCTGGTAGCCCAGCTACGCCAATTCTACACGTATACGCTGCTCCCTGCCGAGGTGGGTGATCCCAGGGAGATCCAGAGGCCAGGGAGGGCGTATATTGAGGTGCTGACTGTTCACCCTGCCCCCTCCCCTGCAGTCCTTCTTCCACACGGTGCTGGAGAACAGCTTGGCCTGTGAGAGCCTCGTGGACAACAACCTGCGGGTCACAAACTGGAACCGCAAGCTGGGCTGCAAGTGCCAATACAAGCACATTGTGGACTGGTGTGGCTGCTCCCCCAATGACTTCAAGCCTTCCGACTTCCTGCGGCTTCAGGTGCCTGCCTACCCTCCATCGGACTGCTCCTCAACTTTCCCCGGTCAACTCTCCCCCATGAACTTTCCCAGGGTTGGAAAGGATCTGGGGTGGGCCGGGCAGAGCCTGGGGGCTTCACCTGGAACAGCCCACAGCCCTGGGCCATAGGCTACCCTGGCAGCAGGAGAAGCAGGTGGGTCCCCAGTCCTGGGAGGGGCCTAGAAGCTGGGCCACCCTCTGGTTGTGCTTTCTGGACCTCCAGACTCCTTCACCTTCCTTGCCTCTTGCCCTCCAGCAAGTCTCTAGACCCACCTTCTTCGCCCGGAAGTTTGAGTCGACTGTCAATCAGGAGGTGCTGGAAATCTTGGATTTCCACCTGTATGGCAGCTACCCCCCAGGCACGCCGGCCCTCAAGGCCTACTGGGAGAGCACTTACGATGTGGCCGACAGCCCTAATGTGCTCAGTGACATCATGCTCACTGCCTACACTGCCTTTGCTCGCCTCAGTCTGCGCCATGCCGCCACTGCTGCCCCCTCTCCGACCGCCTCACTCTGCAGGTGAGACCTCTTTCTGGCATACCCCAGAGTGTGGGGGCACCAATCAGAAAGAAAGAGCCCCTGCCCACAGCAAGTCAACAGTCTGAGGTCAGGAAATATGCAAATATAAGAAGGCAAGCGCCAGGGAGCTAGATGTTGTGGGCGTGAGATGGGGGCAGAAGAAGTATCTGGGGTGGGACTCCCCAGAGCTCCCTCCCTGGTTTTCCAGGCCAAGCCCGTGTCCTGATCACATCTCCCTTTCTCCCTGCTGGAACTTTCTTAGGTTTGAGCCCCGGGGCTTGCCGACCAGTGTGCACCTGTATTTCTATGACGACCATTTCCAGGGCTACCTGGTGATGCAGGCAGTGCAGCCCTCAGCCCAGGGGCCGGCAGAGACACTTGAGATGTGGCTCATGCCCCAAGGGTTGCTGAAGATGGTGGGGCACAGTGACCAGGCGAGCCGGCTCCAGAGTTTGGAGGTGGGATGGGTTCTCTCCCTTAATTTGTCCTAACCCCCAGCAAGACTCAGGGTAGTGAGAAGAGGACAGAAACCAAGGGAGGGAGTGGTCAGCCTTTATGGCTTATGGGTTCACAGACCCCTGCTTCCCCAGGCGTGGCAGCTGTGGTGTGTCCTCATACAAACATGCCTGTGTTAGCCCAAGTGTGCACAGATGCGCGCCTCCTTTTCCTGGTACATAGAATACCAGCAGGTGGAGAGGGAATTGTCAGTCCCACTGCAGTGCAAGCCCAGTCTTCTAGACCCGGGGGCTTGCTTCTGGAGGGACTTGGAAGCTTTGACTTCTCATGGAGATAGTCTCTGGTCATGGCTGCAAACCTCATCTAAACCGTGTGGTCCCCACCACTGCAGAACAGAACAGGGCGAGATCTTGGAGCTCTCAACCGATTCCTTCATTTTAGGGAAATCGGAAGCCCAGAAAGAGACAGTAACCGGTATGAGGTCACCCAGTAACAGAATAGAGGTAACAGAAGAGAGAGGACTTTTCCCCAGGCTCTATCTATCCCAACTGCTTCCCTCCCTACAGGTTGGCACCGAGTGGGATCCCAAAGAACGTCTGTTCCGGAACTTTGGGGGGTTGATGGGGCCTCTGGACGAGCCTGTGGCTGTGCAGCGCTGGGCCCGGGGCCCCAACCTCACAGCCACTGTGGTCTGGATTGACCCGACCTATGTGGTGGCCACGTCTTATGACATCACGGTAGACGCAGAGGCTGAGGTCACGCAGTACAAGCCCCCACTGAGCCGACCCCTGCGACCAGGAGCCTGGACCGTCCGACTGCTTCAGTTCTGGGAGCCTCTGGGCGAGACCCGCTTCCTGGTACTGCCCTTGACCTTCAACCGCAAACTACCTCTCAGGAAAGGTACTGATCTCATTCCCAGGTGATGCCTAGAAGTCAGATGGTATAAAATATGATTTGCCAGGCCGGTGACTCTAAGGTGCTGACTGTCAGAGCTGACTCCCATCCCTGGGAGCAGGGGAGGAGAGAAAGGCTGGATCTTGTGACCTGCTATCCCCTCACATCCTGGGTGGTAGAAAAGGAAACCTGGGAGTCAAGCCCACTCAGTGCTAAGCTTGGCAAGTTACTTGACCCTCTTGAGCCTCAGTTTTAAGACACGTGAAGTGGGTATACAGTACCGTCAGAGATCCCTGAGTACCTGTACCACAGATCCCATCAGACTAGCTCCAGTGGAGGAGGCTGGGGCGGGGCTGTAGCTCACACTGGGAACCAGAGGTGCCCTCTCTATGGCTTTGAGGCCCTCTTGCCCCTCATCCTGACCTCTCTGCCATTGGCCTTAGGCTGTGCCTCTCTGGCTTCATGTGTCTCGGTAAAACAGAGACTGACCAGGTCCTCTTGGTCCTCACGTTCCTCATTCCTGGGAGAGCAGTTTTGGATTGACCGTCCCAGTCCACTGTGTGGCTGGGTGGGTAGGGTCACATGACTCTCCACTCACTTGGCTGAGGCTAAGGGAGCTGACTGTGAGCAGACGTACACTGAGCCTAGGCAAGTTCCTGCAGTGGGGGCCTAATACACCCTCTGGGTTCAAAGTTGGTGGTCAATATGTAGGTGTTTCCACCCTGAAGAGCACCTTTTCAGAGAATGTGGGTCACACTAGAGTAGCCCATGACTGGGTTCATGTCCCTGGTGGGCACAGCTGGGGCTGATCCAGGGCAGGCCGGCCTCGATCCAGTTTCCCTGGGACTCAGTGAAACGAAGTGAAGGAGTCAGGTGAGGGAAGAAGGGAGATGAGCTCGCCAGCAGGTGGGTAGCTAAGCTGAATCTTACGGAACAAGCTGATTTTTAATAGGACGAGAAAGGGATTCTGAGCTGAGGGTGCAGCTGGGAATACACAGTGTGGAGGGTGAGGCACGCTGGGGTGAAGGGATGGAAGATGTGGGAAAGGGGAGTGGAGACAGGCTGGAGTGAAGGCTGGAGTAGCAGACAGGACTCTACAGCTGGGCTCGTGACGACTCAGGGAGCCCTGCGGATTGGTGAGTGAGGTGTGGGTCATATAACCAGTCCTTTATAAGAAAGAAGCCTTATTTTCTAAAGTGCCTTGAATCTATCTAAAGTTGGGTCTTGAGGGATTATAGTCTTGGTTTTAGAAAATGAAAGTTCCATGGAGTAACCTGAGGTCATTCAGCAAGATGTGACCAGTGGTACTGTTGGGACAGGACCTGGGGGGCAGTCCCCAGGCCTGACTCAGGGCTCTGGCCTCCATGGCATGTGGGGCAGGTGTGCTCACTGTCTGCTCTGTACCCCCAGATGATGCCAGCTGGTTGCACGCTGGGCCACCGCACAATGAGTACATGGAGCAGAGTTTCCAGGGCCTGAACAGCATCCTGAACCTGCCTCAGCCAGAGCCTGTGGAGAAGGTCTCCCAGCGGCAGGCGGAGCTCACGGGCCCTGCACTGGAGGCCTGGACAGATGGGGAACTGAGCAGCTTCTGGTCTGTGGCTGGACTCTGTGCCACCGGCCCTTCCACTTGCCCCTCCCTAGAGCCCTGCAGACTGACCAGCTGGAGCTCTTTGTCCCCTGACCCCAAATCGGAGCTGGGGCCCGTCAAAGCAGATGGACGACTCAGGTAGCAGGGCCCCAGCCAGCGCCCGGAGGACCCGGGAATTGCACCTTACAGACCATCGAGGGATATTCCCTCCCACAGGCAGAACCAGGCCAGGCAGCACCATTCCAGCCAACCAGAACGCGCAGTACGGCAGGGAAGGCGGACGTGGTTCTTACTACTGCTGATGGCTCTGCCAGGGGCAGATAATCAGCAGGATTGTGGGGAGAGGGATTCCGGCATTCCACGCTGGTACTTCCTCTCTTCCCTTTCTAGTTTGTATTTTTTTATTTAAAAAAGAAAATGAGTTGTGTAGGGGAGGAACTGGAAACAAACCATGTGCAATAGGGCTCAGAGCAGCCCAGAAGTGGGCCATGGCTCTGGGGAGAGAGAGGGTCCTGATGAGCCCATCTGCTATTGCTCTGGATGGGGCTGCGCCTGCCTTGCTCTCCAGGGCCCCTTCCCCAGCCTGGGCTTGTGGTGGTCACAGCCCGGTGATGCTGGGGAGCTCTGTAGAGCTGGACTCTGGCAGGACAGTCCTGCAGCTAGGGAACCCTAGAGGAGTGGGTGGGGCTTGCTTTAGGGTTTTCAGGTGTCTTCTGCCTCTGGATGGAAAAGGCAGGACACCAGGCCCCCCTGAGATAGATGTGAACTCTTCCAGGTGCCCCAGAACTGCAAGCATCCCTGGGCTCCCAGCCTGGTGGGTGAGTCCTCATGAGCAGCTGGGGAGACCACTGTCGGGCATCTCAGAAGAACTTGAAGTAGCATTGTGCCTGAGGTTCAATGTGAAATCTGAAATATGCAACAGAAGAAATATATCTCTCTCTCCCCAAGTTGAGCTCCATGTTTTCTCTCCTGGGTGTTGGGTAACCATCACTGTTGGGATGTCTTCTCCATCAAATCCTTGGAGCTGGGACATTGGTGGCCATAAATGAAGGACTCATTCCTGCTGAGTTTGAACATAGTTTAGAATTCATCCAGGAGCCCGAGGGGTCCAAGAATCCATCTAATCTAGCCCCCTTTTTCTGAGAAGTAAACAGGCCCAGAGAGGCTCAGCGATTTTTGTGTTGCCACCCAGCCGACCAGTGGGACAGCCGAGCCTGAAGCTGTGAGGCCTGGCCTAGTGTTGACTCCCCACCGTCAGTTGCCGGCTTCTCTGGCTCCAGTGGCTCGAACCATCCCAGCTGTCCTTGCTGTTGGTTCCTGCCCAGTCTTGACCTGGGGTGTATCCTCAAGAGCCGAGGTGCTCATAACCATAGCCTGCCACTGCCTTTGGGTCTTGTCCCGTTAGGGGCAGGAAGCAGCAAGGCTTTGGTCCCTGGACACTGACTGCCCTAGGATCTGGGAGGGTGTTTGGGGGAAGACTTACCCAGGTTCCCTCCCTTTCCTAAATTCCTTCCCCTCTGGCTCTCCTCCCATTGTCAGCAAGGGCTCCCTTCAGTCACACACCTTTAGAAGTGGGGGTGAGGGCGAAGGTTTCTCAGATTTAAAAACCCTATTGGCCAGTCAGCTGGTCTGGTCAGCTAAACTCATGGGAAGAAAGGATTATGTCCTGTCCAGGCCGCCACAGGGCCAGTTTTCCTAGTTGCCAGGAGAGGGCACCCTGAGCATGGGTAACAGTGTTGGATTTTTTGTGTGGCTCTTGGGGGCACACTTGGCATGGATTCTCACTTGATACAGCCTCTGAGGCGTTCTCTCATCTTCATTCAGTACATCAGGAAACAAAGCTCAGAGCTGCGAAGCGACTGGAGCCCAAAGTCCAGCTAGTCAATGATGGAATCCCCCTGCAGACCTAGGCAGGTGGACTCCCAGAGCCCCTCATTCACTACTCTGCTTTCATAGGGGCATGCTGAGCAGGAAGTCAGGAAAGGGGTTAAGCAAGAACTCAAAGGAAATGGTGTTGGGGTCCTGAGACTGTTTTCCTATTTGAGAAAAAGCCATGGTGATAAATTGTTAAGTGCTCAATTGCTAACCAAAAGGTTGGCAGTTTCAACCCATAATGACCCTGTATAGTGTTTCTGAGGAACAGCTAGTGGGTTTGAAATGCCAACCTTGCAGCTTCCAGTTCAGTGCAGACCCTACAGCGCCACACTGGGAAACCCTATGGAGCTGTTCTGTGGGTCGGAATACTGGTTTCTGTGGGTCAGAATGGACTCTGGCACACAACATCTCAGGAACTATCTAAAATTCTCTGGTTCTGTTGAACTATTTTAAAACATCAAGTCTTAGGTCAGTAAATAAAATGAGTTAAGTAGGTCCAGGGTGTTAGACACAGGCCATAAACAGTTGAACACTCAGACTCTGACCTAGGCTGGACCAGCCTGTAGCTCTGCAGCCTAGGCTTGCACATCTTTAAAGTGTTCTTGGAGCTTAGGTGGGGCACACTACATTTACCCCCTATGACTCCCATCACATTACACTTCTTGAGAGCTGTTGAGTTGGTTCCAGCCCATAGCAACTCTGTTGAGTTTCCCAGGAGCTGCTAGTGAGCTTGAACTGCCGACCTTGCAATTCAAACTGACTTTGCAGTCCAGCGCACTAAACCACACAGCGCCACACCAGGACTCAAGCACATTACACTAAGTCCTAGTTATTCATTAATGTTGCCTACTGTGAACATCTTGCCTTCATATTAGCCAATGGCTCCTGATCCTCACTGAGGGTTCTTGATTTAATTGGTCTGAGGGACAGCCTGGTCTTGGTCTTGGTGTATTTTCAAAGCTTCCCCCCCCCTTGTGATTCTAATTTGCAGGCAGGCTGGGAATGACTGACCCCCACTGCTCCTGTCACAAATCTGGCTCCACTCAGTTGGATTCATGACAAGTTCAGAGAGCAGACTTGGGGGTGGGGCTCCTTCACCCATGTTCCCAGTTCAGGTCTTAGAGACCTGATTCTCAGCCTGCGTTCCTGCAGTGTTCCCTATCCACATTCTTGTAGGGCTGGCGCAGCCTGGAGGCTTGGACTTTCAGAGGTTTTGAAGCCCTCCCCTGGCTGGGACCCTGGGGTCAAGATCAGGATTCTGGCAGGATCAGGTGGGAGTGGAGAGTGTGGGCTGCATAGGCAGGCTGGGCCCCTTGTTAAGTTCTGCTGAGATGGTTCTGATCCACAGCAACCCTGTATAGGGTTTCCGAGGAGCAGCTGGTGAGCTTGAACCAACCTTGAGGTTCAAATAGACTTTGCAGGGTCAGCACATTAACTCAGCACCACACCAGGATTCGGCGGGGCCCCTAGCAGAGCACAATAATTCTTTTGGAGGAGAGTCTTTTGTATTTCGTGGCCCTTGTGCCTCGTTTCCAGGGCAACCGTGGACAACACAATTTCTTTTGAGGTGGGAGCCAAGATTAGAGGACAGCTAACCCGGAGCCGTTACCTGGCCAATGGGAAGTGGAGGTGGGCAGTCAGGCATGAGGGGATCTGGGACAAGGAAGAGCCTTGGGCAAGTTGTGCATGAGGCTCAGCAGAAGCCAAACCTGGCCCTGCCAACCCCTTTCCTATAAGTTGTAGGAGGACCCTTGGGTGGCTGGCAGCCATGTAGAGAGAAGCTCCACCTATAGAACTTGAGGTCACGGTTGGGGATTGATCAAGACAGCAGGAGTAGGAGGCTGCAGGCTGCCCAGTCAGCCCGGCTCTGGATGAAGTTGCCCCTTGGCCACAGTTCCTGCATTGGGGTGTGGCCCTTGGGGAGGGTCAGCCCTATGAGCCTACTGGTTGCTCCTCAAAGTCAATGCCCTTTCTTGTACCACCCCACCCCACCCTGCCACTGCTGCTCACGTGCAGCCATCACCATGGACAAGTCTCCTAGCCACAGTTGTGACCACTGGTGAGTACCTACTGCCAAGTCCCAAGGTCAGGGCAGAGACCCCCTTGGCCCTTACCACAGGTCAGAAGTGCAGCCTCTCACTTATTGGGTATCTAGAGCAGCATTCCTCCCCAAGCGGAGTTAAGACTGCTCTGCAGCTAGCCTGGGACCCCAGGGGGTACTTCCCTGTGGGTTCTTAAGTTCTAGGATGCCATAGTGCACGATGGCTGGAGTTCATGATGGGCACTAGGCCCTTGGGATCTCTTCTGCCTCCTCAAAACCATTACTTTGAAGGGTGTGCCCCAGCCAAAAGTTGTTTCTCCTGATGGGAGAGATGGGATAAAGGGTCTCTGCTCTCCCTCATGAGTATCTGCTACAGGAAGCTAATGCACCCCCAAAGGGAGGCCAGAGCTCAGCCCTTGCTGCCTGTCCTTCCAAGACCAAAGCCAGCCAGGTCATTCCTCCACCAGCTTCTGGAAGAGATTGGGGAGAAGGGGCCTGTGTGAGCAGGAGCAGGTGCAGGCCAGGCTGCAGCTGCGTGTCTGGAGGGAGGGCAGTTCCATTCTGGTGTTCATCATCATCATCATCATCATCATCGCTGTTCTGTTGCTGCTGCGGTACCAGTGGGGATCCCCACGCTGCCAGCTCCTCTGCTCTTGCCACTTCAGAGCCCCCGCCAATACGTAAGCACCCCTGCCCTCCGCACCTGCCCCCTGCCCCAATTTGGCCAGAAAGATAGTTGTGTCGGGGAGAAGCAAGTGTTCAATGTGGAAGGAGCCTTTGGACTTGCCATTCTCTGGACTCGTCTTCTAGCCTGGGTTCCCTAGGGGCCATGGCAGCAGTGTGGAAAGGGTTAACATCCTGGCCAACGACCTCCCTGGCCACTGGAAAACTGGCCAATGTTGGGGAGCTGCTCAGTGAAGACATTATGGCATTATGTGGTCTTTCCCCTATTTGCCAAGCAACTTGAGGCCCTCCCTCCCCCTCCCTTTCAGGGGAGGAGCCCAGAATCTGTGGGAGGGGTAGATGGTCACTGCAAGTACTATTAGTTCTCTCCCAAGGGACGAGGCACCATATGGAATCCTCCGAGCTGCAGACAGGAGGTGGCAGCTTCCTGACAGTCCCCACAAAGGTCATCAAAGCTGGCAACCAGATGAGACTAAGCCTGTTGTGGCCATGACTGAGGCCACTTTACAGCCAAGTGTTTTTCAGAAATGCTAAGGATCTGA